AACAGTAAGCAATCTGATTCAGGTTATACAACACATAATATTTTTAAAAGACAAAAGAGGGGGGGAAATCAGCAAAAATGATCAGAACGTTGAAAAAAATCTTAAAACATGTGCAATATGGACCTCCCACTATTGCGAAGGGGTTGGTTGGAGCTGTCATTGCTATCCTGTTTTTTAAACAATGTGACATGAAATTTGAGTTCCCAAGTTGGATTCCCTGGTGAGTATTATAATGTGAGTCTATAGCAAAACCTAACATATTACTATAATTCTAGTCTTTTTAGAGGTAGACCTAAAGACACCTTGTAAGCACTCTAGATCAACAATCCCTTCAGCAAAAATCCCCAACAAGCTATAATGTGGTCTCTTGCTCAGAGGATTCCTGGGCAGGTTCAAATATCGGGCGAGTCAGTTAAACGGTCGTCTCTGGACACCCTTTTCCTCGTCTACAAATGAAAGGGTTGGCTCAGATGACCTCTGAGAGCCTTTCTAGCTCTAAATTTGAAATTCTAAGACCCTAAGAGGGGAATGTGCGAATCCCAAGGTGGCTGATTGCATTGCTGGACAGTTCATTGTTGGGAAGTGATCCTACCTAGTTGGAAACTGAGGCTCTTCCTCGTGATACCTTTCAAATATCTGAAGGCTGCAATTTTGTCTCTTCCATAGCTCTTCCCAAGAAAAGGTAACTCCTGCAAAACAGTAACTTCTCATTCTTGCCTATGCATTTCTGGTGCCTGATATTCATTCAGTGCCTACTGTGCTGGGTCTGGGGATACAGGAACAAAAACAAAAACGATGCCTGCCCTCAAGGAGTTTGTATTCTGCCATCGGAGACAATATGCATGCATAAGTAGATAAAGAATAATAGGGGCAGCTCGGTGGCGCAGAGCTCTGGCCTTGGAGTCAAGAGGACCTGAGTTCAAATCTGCCCTCAGACACATAACACTTAATAGCTGTGTGACCCTGGGCAGGTCACTTAACCTCATTGCCTAGCTCCCCCCCCCCCAAAATATAAATACACTTTTATTTAGTGGAGGGGGGAGGACTTGTTTCACATAAAAAGTGGTGTTTGAGGTCTATCTTGAAGGATCCCAGGGATATTAAGAGACAGAAATGAGGGTAGAGGACATATCAGGCAGCCTGGAGAAAGGCTGGAGAAAAGAAAAAGTAAGAAGGCATGATTAATTCACAAGGTGGATGGAGGAGGTTTGATGTTCTACCCGTCCCTATGTGAGCAGATAAAGAAAAGCTGGAGTCTTTTAGGTGGGTGTATTTTAACGGAGACAGAGTTAGACTCAAACTTGTTCTCGTGTAGGGGAAATGCTGTTTGGGGGGTTGGAGTAGGTGGCCTTTTAGCCCCCTAGACTGCTGGAGAAATGGGAATTCAATTATAAAGCCTAGTAAAAGAGGTCTGGATTCAATCGACGAGGAGATGGGGGAGATGGGGGAGCGGGGAGATGCAGCCGCTCATTGGGTATCTGCATCCCCTTTGAATATGCTAATTCATAGCATGTGGAAAACCTCTGGAAACAGGCTAATAGGCACATTGGCAGTGGGGCTGTGTTTGCCACCAGAATTCCATTTCTGTTCAAAGCCTGGGCTGCCTGCAGTCCACATGGAGGTTTAAAGTCAATAAAGTAATGATTTTATAGAGGAGGAGAGTGCCAAAGCAACGCCCTCTCCCACCTCCCCTCCCCCTTCCTGCTGGGACTGAGAACCAGCAGAGAGAACTAGGCTTGGAGTCAGAACCTCCTGGGGTTCAGATCCCAGTTCTGCCCCTTGGTGGCTGACTGTGATCAAGTTCCAGCTCCTCTGGGGAGCAGATCTTCCAGCCTCAGTTTCCATTTTTTGCTAATCTGAGAGCTTTGGGCTGAGATATCAAATATCATATTATTTTAATTCAGTGGATTTCAAAGAGTATTAGATATGGACTCTGTGTCAGGGACTGTGTTAAGGGCTGTGAATATAAAGTCAAAAGTGGAAAGAGAGCTGGACCTAGAGCCCTGGGTTCTAGGCTTGCCTTGGAAACATGCAGAGTCAGCTTGACTTGGCCATGGCCAGAGAGCTAGTAGATAGCAGAGGGGTGGTTTTTGTAACTCGAAAACCAGTGAAATGTTGTTTTGGGAAGGACTTTGTTTGCGAGCCCTGCTGGGAGGGGAGCAAATGAAGAAAAACTTGAGTTTGGTGCTTTTTCCTTTTCTTGGCCAGGGCTTTTGCTGATTTGTGGGTCTGTATGATCTCATTTTTCTTTGGGATCAGGAAGTTTTATCACACATACCCTCCTCCCCCTTTGCCCGATACAGTAAGTTGCATTTAGTGGGATATTGGGGATCATAGATGTTTGAGCCAGACTGGACCTTGGAGGTCATCTGACCCAGCCCCCTCTTTTTACGGAGGGGGAAACTGAGACTGTAAGCGCTTTTGGGGAGGTAAAGGTCATAGGATCGTAGGATATGCTATAAAGCTGGAAGGGAATTTTAGAGGCATCTAGTCCTAATCCCCCATTTTACAGATGAGGAAACTGAGTCTTGGGTCATAGGATTGGAGATGCAGAGTTAACAAAAGATATCAGAAGGCATCTGATCCAGTTTCTTTTTACAAATGAGAAAACTGAGTCCCAGATAGCATGTAGGAATCAGATTCAGAGCTGGAAGGAACCTCAGACGCGCTCTTGTCCAACTCCCTTATTTTACAGATTAGGAAACTGAGGCTCAGAGAGGTTAAGTCCCTTGCCTAAGGTCATCCCAGTGCTTAAGGGTCAGAGGCAGGATTTGAATTTAGGCCCCCTGACTTTCTACTGTCTCATACACATAGTAGGTTCTTAGTAGCTGCTTACTCAGTGATTGTTTTGTAACAAAGTACCATGTGAAGGTGAGGGGTGGTGGTGATGGCTGTCCCTGTAGCTGAAATGAAGAAATAACTGGTCATGAAAGCCTGGCAGGAAGGGGAGGCGAGGCTAGGCTATCCTCCCCGTTACAGCCTGCCATTGGCTTTCTTACCCTTCCAGCTGCCTTAGAGATGAGTCCTTGTAGACGCTGAGATGTGGAGGTGCTGCCGACAGCCACTTAGGTGGATTTAGACTCACTGGGGGTCTTGGGTGGCGTCTGGCCGACTGTGCATTTAGCATAACCTCGGGAGAATCCATTTACCCAAGTGGAGGATTGTGTATGAGTCTACACTGCCGATGCCGACGCCCCCTTCCTGCCCTCGGGACCACTGAGGTCTTGTCCTCGTTAGCAGGGCGTGTGTGGAGGATTATAAACTCAGCTTGCATCTAGGTTACTCTTTATACTTTCCAAAATCCTTCTCAAATCTATCTGACAGTAACCCTGTGAGATATACAGAATATGAAAATGTTCCAATTTTACAAGAAACTGAGGCTCATGGGGAAGTGATGTTTCCAAAGCCAGAGGGCTGTCCAGGAACTTAAATCAAAGACTTGAGAACTGGGAGAGGCCTCTGAGGCCGTTAGCCTAACCTTATTTTACATATGGGGAAACTGAGGCTCAGGGAGGTTATAGTCACTGATCTAAAGTTGGAAGGAACTTTGAAGGCTGTAGTTCAACCTTCTCTCCGACGGATCAAAAACTGAGGTTTAATCTTGTCCAATGTTACATAGGTAGCAGGATTTGAACCCAGGTCTCAGGCCTCTAAATCCAGTGCCTGCCCGTTTTACAGCAAGCACCACAGTACTTCCTTACTGCAAACCACTTTGTAAGCCTTAAAATGCTACATAAACATAGGGGGCCCAGTTGATGGGAAGCCTGAATGTCAGTTTAGATATGATATGACAGGTAGCAGGAAATCTCTTGAGGCTGCTGAGGAGGAGATGACATGACAGCTCTATTTGGGGGAGTATTTATTCTAGGAGCAAAGGACGGCGCCCGGCTGCAGCAGGGGAATGAGAGAAGGCAGGGAGGAAGCGGATTAGGATGGTGGCTGTGGGGCAAGTAGAGAAAAGAGGTTAAAAATGACGATCAAATCGGAAAGAAAAAAGAATAATAGTATAAAGGAGGGTCAGTGGGATATTATAGAATTAGGTCAGAGTTTGAGTCCCACCTCTGATACTATCAGCTATGACCCAGGCTTCTAACTTCCCCGGGACTCTATTTTCCCACCTATTAAATGGGGACAATAATTCTTGACTATTTATCCTTATTTCCTAGAGTATATAGGATCATCGAGTTAGCTAGAAGGGACCCCAGAGGCCGGTTATGGAGTCCAAACCCCTCTTTTCACAGATGAAGAAACTGAGTCACAAAGAGGTTAAACAATTTGACTAAGATCCACATAGCTAGTGTCTGAAGTGGGATTTGAACTCGGGTCTTCTGGATGCTAACCCACAATACCATACTATCTTTCAATTGTGAGAAAAGCAATTTTAGAAACTTTAAAGCGCAATAAATATTTTTATTATGATCCCCTTGCGGATTTTTGGAGTCAGAGCCCCTGGGTTCAAAGCCTGCTTCAAAATCACTCTCCTTTCCTGGATCTCAGTTTCCTCCTCTGTAAAATGGGTGGGTGGAACTCATTGGACCCTGAAGTTTCTCACAGCTCCAGACCCATGATCCCATGAAAGGTTTTCATTGTGCTACAGCTCAGGAGCCAGGAAGGGATCCACATAGCATTGCTTCATAGGAGGTTGGAAAGAAGGGTGAGGGGTCAGTGGGACTGAGATCCAGTTTTTTAAAAGCAGTAAAAGAGCCACAAGGGTACATGACTGTCCAGGGAGAAAAGCCGAGGTACAAAGCTATGACTTATTTGTGGAATAAACTTGGACAATGCCAGTTTTCCCTTTCTCCTCACCCTTTTCAAAGTCTTTGCTCATGTAAACAAAATCATCTTTCCAGTTGGCTCCAAAAACACAAATGGATTTCCAGAGAAACTCGGGGCTGGAGACCTCACCCTGAGACACATGCCAGTGGGGTGTGGAGTTCATTTCTCTGGCATTGGAAGCCTCTAGTAAATATCGTTTCCCATGTTTTTCTCTTGTTCTGCAGTGATCCGTGCCAAGGTGGTGGGAAAGAAGCTGGTGAAGGAGGGACCCTTTGGGACGCTGATATACACCATCAAGCAGATGAAGGTGAGCGAGGTTGGCCCTCTGAGAGGGGTCTGCCTTTCCTTAAGCATGGCTCTGGCTTTTATTTATACTTGGTCTCCAAGCATGTACAACCCTAACCCTCCATCCTTCTGGAGGAATAAAGATAATTTATTATCTTTATGAGAGATACTCCGGCTGAGTATCTCTCAAGCCGGAGAAGGGTGGCGTCATGGAAGCAATATTCAACTGGGAATCCATAGATCTGGCTCAGCTGCTAATGAACTGTGTGACCACAGATGGCCTGGTGCTTTAGAGGCAGGCCTTGGGAGTCAGAAGAACTGAGCTCGAATTTTGCTTCAGACTACGTGCTGCACATGGGAACTCAACCTGTAGCTATTGCCCAACACTCGCTTTATGTCTGAGATCTCTAGACAGCTCTAAGGTAAGAGAAGGTGGCAGACCTTCGTTCTTAGAGGGAGTGTCTTTGTCCGAGGGTTCCCTGGGCCAGTGAAATCATGGGTCCAGATCCTCTCTTATGCTATCTGTGCTAGGAACACAAAGGAGAAAAAAATGGTTTTGCCCGAAAGGGGCTTCTATTCCACATTCTATGTACTTAGCACATAGTAAACCTTACTTGTATTTTACTCTTAAAATGATTGATTTATTTTTAACATTCATTAAAAGGTTTGTTTGTTTGGTTATTTTGTAGTGAGGCAGTTGGGGTTAAGTGACTTGCCCAAGGTCACACAGCTAGTACGTGTCAAAGTGTTTGGTCTGAGGCCGGATTTGAACTCAGGTCCTCCTGACTTCAGGGCCGGTGCTTTATCCGCTGCGCCACCTAGCTGCCCCTAAAAGTTTTTTTTGGAGTTCCAATTCCCTTCCTCCCACCCTCTGAGAAGACAAACAATATGTGAGTCATACATGCAAAATTATGTAAAGCATATTTCCATATTAACCATGTTGTATGAAAAAAAAAGAGAAGGCTAAAAAATTGGACTGCATCCCTTCTGTTTCGGGAAGGGGGGAACATTTTTCAGCACCAGTCCTTCCGAATTGTCTTGGATCATTGTCCCGATCAGAGTAGCTAAGGTAAGGCTTACTTTTTAAATGCTTTTTCACTGATTGATGTATTCAGAGAGGAAGTTACCACTCCCACTCCCTGTCCCAAAATCGGCCAAGTTTCCTATGGGGCAAGGTCTGTGTCTTAACATCATGGGCCTTTATGGGCTAAATGAATTAACATATGTAAAGGACTTTGCCAACCTCAAAGTATATAAATGCTTGCTATTATTATTATTGTTATTATATAGATGTACACACATAAACATGTAAATATATAAATATACATACACACATACTTTTTTTCCCTCTGGATCTCAGATTTCATCGTTGTAGGGAGTTTTACGCTGAAAACTCCCCTCTACCTTTTCAAATCAGCAACCTCTCTGTAACTTGTAGTCATAAACAGTTGTCTGGGGACACCGAGAGGTTGGGTAACTTTGTGGTTACATAATCAGCAATGAATCAGAGGCAGGACTTGACCAGGGGCTTCTTGACCCCAAGGCTGGCCTTCCATCTACCCTACCATGTTGGCCTTTCTTCACACTCACATAGAGGAGGTTTACAAATAGCTGGTGAATGAATGAAAAAAAGAACTAGGCTTTGAGCTGGCTAAATCTTGAGGGATTTAGATTTGGGGGTGGGGGTGTCGAGCCATTCTCAGAAGGACTCCTTTCTTTTTGTTGGGTCTTTGCAAATGGTCTGGTGTGGTAAGTGGATGGATGGGGACGCTTCTGGAATGCATTCCTCTCCTTATGTTCAGATTTCATGTAACCTGCTTCATCAAATCTTATTTTTTGAATTTTTGGACATACCCATTGACCTCTTGTTATGTAATGTTAAAAATCTGCCCTGGCTTGCTTCCCTTGGCCCAAGCAGCCCTGTCTTGAGACTAGTTTATATCTTTGTAGAAGGCGGCAGTGATGAGGGAGTGTGGGTGGTGGGGGGGGGCTAGTGTGGGGCAGCTGGGAAAAACAAGCTGAGGGAGCCCTACCCCACCCCCCCTTTTAAAGGCCTTGGCAGTGGTCAGAGGGAATCTGAAACAGATTAGACAAAGCGGAGGGTCAGAAATGCCTGCTCCATAGCAATCCCTTGTTTTATGAGGTGCTCCTGAGAGCTGTTGGGAGGAGAGCTGGACGAAGCTCCCTTGGGACCAGAGTGGCCACGGCCGTACCCTTCCCTGCTTTGTGGGCCTTAGAAATGGGAGGTCCTGGACTGGGGCAGACTTAGGCTGGAAATGGAGGTGGGTTGGTCCTCGAATGAATCTGACCAATAACAGAGAGTCCATTGAAAGTCCCTCATGCTTTGGGTCAGTCTTCCTAGAAAGCCTCAGGTCAGGAATTCCTGGGGGTGCCCTTGTAGAGCCTAGCACAGCGACTGGCACACAGTCGGTGCTTAATAAATGCTTGTGGATGAATACATCTGCATCACATTGGGAAAGTTGACAAAAAAGGAAAAAAAAAACAAACAAATGTTGGAGGAGCCATGGGAAACCAGGCACTTTAATACACTGTTGGTGGAGCTGTGAATTGGTCTAGCTGCTCTGGAAAACAATTTGGAACTATGCCCAAGAAGTTACTCAATTGATTAGTGAATGTGTGGAGGGAATACTCACACCCTCTCATCAACTGAGAAGTTAGAGCTGGGATTCTTAGTCTATGTTTCGTGGACCCCTTTGGTGAGTTGGGTGGTCTCTGGACCCCTTCTCAGAGCAGCGTTTTTAAATGCATAAAACAAAATACATAGGATTACAAAGGAAACTGATTCTCTTAAAATACATTTAGCAGGGCAGCTAGATGGTGCAGTGTATAGAGCACTGACCCTGGAGTCAGGAGGACCTGAGTTCAAATTTGGCCTCTGACTTACTTGCTGAGTGACTTTGGGCAAGTCACTTAACCCTGATTGCCTTCCCCCCTCCCCCCAAAAAAATACAGTTAGCAAAAATAATTTTTTAAAAAGTTCACAGACCTCAGGTCAAGGACCCCTGGATACAGTATTGAACTTCCATCATTATTTCATAGCTTTGGGACCTTGGTCAAGATACTTTGTTTTTTGGCCTCAATTTACTTTATCTGTAAAAGGGATAATAACGCTTTGTATGTCATAAGGTTGTAATGAGGCTCACATGAGATAATTTAAGTGATGGAACCTGAACCTATGATGTCATAGGAATAGGGAACTCCCAGAAGAGGAAAACTCCTTTCACCAATTCCGAAAAGCACTTGTTCTGCATTTTATAGTCGTGAGGAGTTGCTAGATGAGTCAGATCAAGTGACTTGCCAAGGGTCATACATTCGTGTATGTCTAGAGCAGAATTTGAATCCAGGTCTTTGGGGTCTTAAGACTCTGTCTACTTTATTTTTCTATGATTCGTCTTAATGTGTGTGAGGTACTTTGTAACTAGTACAATGCTACATGAGTATCAACTGTTGTTATTCTTATGCCTAGGCTTGTGAGTTCCTCAGTTTAAGGTACTCCCCAAATAGAAACCCCCTTCCATTCATAGAAGTCTACAAGTCATCTGCAAACTGTATCCTCAGTCAGGATGGCAGCATGTGTCAGAGGTTAGCTTGGGCATTCTCCACTCTCAGAGTGGTCTTCTCCCATTATTGCCACGTATTGAGGTATTTAACCCCTCCTAGCCTTATCTCAGAGGCTTCTCCTAACAAGGTTTTCAGTGCCCTCAAATTAGAGAAGGCACGCAGCTCAATTTGGAATCCAGAAAGAGAGGAAACCTGTCTTCCTCTTCCCCATCCTGTTTCTACCTGCTCTGCTCCTGAGTGACTTCACCATCATTTAAACAGCATGAGATCATTTGGCATTTGCTGACCTAGAATCCCCCGGTGCCAGAGTGACTGTGGGTAAGCCTCTTTCCCACTATCTGGAAAATGAGTGGGTGGGCTTAGGTGACCTCTGAGGTTTCTTCTAGCCCTAAATCTATGCTCTGGGTTTGAATCTTGCTTCTGCCACTCACTGCCCTATAATTTGGGTGCCCTCTCTGGGCCTCAGTTTCTCCGTTTGTAAAATGAAGGGATTCGTGTCCATGACCTCTAAGGTCCCTTCTAGTATTAACAGGGAATGACCAGAGTTTGGCTGTGGCCCACTCACCAGCCACTTAGCACTTCCTCTGTGACATCTTGCCAAGGATGTATCAGAAAAAAAATATTGTAAGAGAGAGGAGACACAAGTCCCACGTGTGTGTCGGCAGGAGCCTGGGGCCCGTCTGCAATTGCTTTGCTCCATTGGATAAGTGAGTCTGCCCCAGAGTCAGCCAGGGTGCTGGAGGGCCCCCTCGCAGCAGGATTACGGGAAGCCTAGATGCAGGACAGAATGCCCATGCTTTCTGTTTCTGACAAGAGGGTAGTCTTGACATCTCGATGAGTGGAAATAGCAGAGACGGTTTCTCCGTTAGTCTTGGTCTTCCAGCCCTGCTCCTTCCCTCCAGCCTAGTTTGAAGTCGGTCCACCTCCAGGAATCTAGGTGTGACCTTGGAGCAGTGACCCCTTCCCAGGGCTTCGGTGCCTTTTTTGTAAAATCGTCATGTTGGGCTCGATGGGCTCTGAGTCCTTCCAGTTCCAGATCTCTGACCCGAAGTCACTTAGCCTCCCCTGGCCTCTGTTTCTTCATCTGTAAAATTGGTTTAGGTTTAGATGGTCTGGGAGGTGCCTTCCCACTCTAAATCAATGGTCATAAATGTCTGCAGTCAGACAGTCATCATGGAAAGGGCAGGTGATGTCTAAGTGGAAGGGTCAAGAATTTGGGGAAATAAGGTTGGCTACGAAACCCAACCTGGAGATTAGTTTTCTAAATCACGAGGGGTCATGGGGCAGGTGAGAGTGATGGCTGACAGGAGGTGCAGCCCTAATCAGCGCAAGCCTTTATCTCTGCCGGCAAGACCGTGAGAAAGTGGTCCCCTTTGCCGGGAGCTCTCGTTCTCTGGAAAAGTCTCTTGGGCCTTTGGTTGGGGGAGGGACTGCACGTGTGGGACAATGTGTCCCGGACTGCGGGATTGTCCCAAGGGGCAGGACGCTGACTCATGCATTTCACCCTGACCTTGGGCAGGAAGGCCCCCTGGGCTAATCTGTTTGGCCCCAGCAGTGCCTGCTTCCTTCCTTCAGCCCTCGCTTCTAGCAAATACATAATTGGGGGGGGGGGGGGGGGGAATTTCTTTTGAAGCTTGGGCTCATGGCCTTTCTCCTGGGAAGCCCTGCCCAGCTGTCGGGGATTTGTCCCACCCTGGAACTCACATATACCTGTACTGGCTACATCACTCATTGGACACATTCCAGGTACAGCCTTGGTCTGTCCCTTCACCTCTCAGCCTGAGTTCCTAATCTAAAAAATGGTGCCAGTAATTATTTGTGCTCCCTACCTCTGAGGACTCTTGCAGGGAGGGGCTCTATAAACGTAATCTCTAGGAGGGCAGAGTCAATGTCTTCTGCCTCTTCTCAGAATATGGAAGGTCCTTGAAGGCAGGGGCTGTTTTATTTTTGGTTTTTGTAGCCCTACCCCCTTGTGCCTAGAGTGCAGAGTAGGTGCTTAATAAAGGTGCATGGATTGATTTTTATTCCCAGCTCAATTCTGTGCATATCTCCTTCTCTCTATCTATGGAGAGTATATATATAGATACATACACATTTATAATTAAGGACCTCAAAATCCATCCCTTCCCGTCCTTCCTGATGCTACCAAGGGCACCACCAACCCTCCCAGTCCCTCAGGGTCTCCCTTCCCCCACATATCCACAACACCCCTCAAATCATCCCCCTTTTCTCTGCTCACAGAGCCAATGCCTGGGTTATAACTTCATCTTCTCTCACCTGCCTCCGGCCTCCTCCCCTATCCATTGCCTACACATACTCTGCAGTGCCTTAGGGTTTATAAAGCATTTTCCTCAAATAGTCCTGTGAGGTAGGTTGAATAAGCATTATTATTGTTACCCCCATTTGACAGATGAAGAATCTGAGGCTCAGAAAATTCAGTTGAGTTCAACGGGTACATGTTTTATTGCCAGCCACTGTACTTGTGAAGGGACTGTAAGCTCCTTGAGGGCAGGGTCTGGCACACAGCACTTAAATCCTTTTTGACTTAACTTGTCCAGGGTCCTACACCGAGATAGGATGACCGAGGTGTGGGACTCAAACGTAGTTTTTTGCAATACAAATTTATTGTTTTGTTTTCCTAATAATATCTAATGGAAGTGGCATGCCAGACCTTGGTCCCATTTTCCAGGGGTAGAGAAAGGCTAAGAGGGGGCCATTGGGCTGGAGCCCAAAGCTGCACCCGGTGAGCTCCTGGACCCTCTGTCAAGGCCCAAATCCCTCCAGCCCACTGAAACCACAACTGCAGACAGAGAGGGGAGCGTGAAGCTGCTTTTGATGAGACACCCATGAGGTGATGTCTGGTTTGTATTAATTAGCATAAGCAAATTAATAGCTCTTGCCAGAAAAACCGGAATAGAGACGTTGTCCTGTTATAAACAACAGTTCATTGGAGACCACCGTGGGCCATAATGGGAGAGGCCCTGACGGGAAGGGGATTGGGTAACAGTCATAGTTGCCCTCCTCAGCTCACCCACTAACAAGGTTGTTTCAGCCCTCGGGAACTTGGCCCAGTGGACTCGGTGCTCTCCTACTGCCCCCTCCTTTCTGCCCCGTGGTGGATTTGAACCGGGCTTCATTAAATAGGTGAAAGGTAGCTTCTTGTCTGGACCAGATGGGCCAGACTGAGAAGAGATTAGTTACAGGGTGCAAACATCCATTCCAGCATCTGCTGTCTCATCTGTTAAAATGAAGAGGCTAGACTTCATGGTCTCGGAAGGCCCCTTCAGGTATAAATCCTGGGATCCTGCCAACATCTCATACTCACAGCCCTCTCTGATCTCACGTGGAGTTAAAGGTGAGGCTGGGATTAGTTTCTGGAGGTGAGTTTCTGGCAGGAAAAGGAGGCACATTGGGAAGAATTAGCTAGCCTGGGTTTGGAGCGTGACTCCAATTGCTTGCTACCTCAGCAGGTCCCTTTGTCTCTCAGGGCCTCAGTTTCCTCCTGTGTAAAGTGAGAGCCTGGACTAGATGGACCTCAGAGTTCCCTTTCAGTAAGATTAGAGAATGGTTCTCTAATGCTTGCTTAGTTTACAAAATCTTGTCCTGGGACATTGAATAGTGAGGAAATGGGGCTCTCTGAGTTCTGCCCTCTAGGGCACCAAGGAACAAGTGGAATCTCTCTTCTAGGTAACACCCTTTCAGATTCTCAGACAGCTGAGCACATGCAGTTCCTTCAGCTCATATTCATGTGGAATAAACTTAAAGCCCCTCACTTTCCTGGGTGCCCTCTTTTGGGCCCTCCTGAGCTTATCCTAAAAGGGGGTGCCCCAAATGGATCTTGATCATCCCAACCACACAGCTAGGAAGGTCTTCTGGCGCTACTCCCGGAATTCTTTGTCTCCTGTCTCACCTGCCTCTCCATTCTACAGTGTCAGCTCTGGAGAGTTACAAAACGCAGTGATTCATTCAGCCCTGAAAATTCGTGTGTTCCATGAGGCATTGGGTGTGACAGGGGTTTGAGAAATCCAGCCGTTCCTCCCTCTTCTCTCCTTTGGATTTCTGTGGGAATCCGTGTGTCTGTAAGGGGAGCTGAGAAGCCCGGCTGCTGTTTGTAGCCCTTTAACCTGGAACATTTTATAGAACTGGGGAGATTTCGGTGGTCAGAGTGGTCCAGTTAAGGCATCTTTTTTGTAGGCAGGATGAATGAGGGAGAGAGAATTTACTAAGTCCCTACTGGAGACAAGGCACTGAGTGATGATTCCAAATCACAGGACCTTGGTCCACCTCAGCTGACCCATACCTGAACAGGAATACCCTGATGTACTGGTGGTCACCTACTGTGCATTTGAAGACCTCTTGTGGTGGGGAATGCAGTCCCTCCCACACAGCTGATTCCACTTTTGGTCAGCTCTCATTGTTAGGATGTTTTTCCTTATCTTAAGCTGAAATTTGCCTCTTTGCTGCCTCTATCTGTTGCTTGAAATTCTGTCTTCTGGAGCCAAGCAGAAAAAGACTAATCCCTCTTCTGTGTATCTGACGAGAGCTTTCCTATCACCCCCAAGTCTTGTCTTTGCCCAGTTAAAAATTCCCACTTTGCTTCAAAGGGTTCTTGCATCACATTTTCTTAAGGTCCCCTTCACCATTCAGGTTGTCAGTACTGTTCCTAAATTGGGGTACCCATTTTCTTTCTTGGTCAAAAAGCATTTAGGTGCTTATTCTTTGCAAGCTTTGGAGAGACAAAAAAAGGCAAGAACACTGTCCCAGCCTTCAAGGAGCCCATACTCTTATGGGCAATGGTGGGGGAGACAATATGTAAATAACCAGGTACCTAGCAGGTCCATATAGAGTAAATGGAAGGGTTGGTTACTGTGCAAATCCAGAAATGATGTTAGTGTACAAACAAAAGGTATTGACAAAACTTCTTTAAATTTTTAAAAAATGGAACCCAGGATTGAAGATGGTATTTCGGACGTACCTCAGCTTCCTCGTCTGTAAAATGAGTGGGCTGGACAAGTTGGCTCCAGGGCCTTTGTAATTCTAGACACACACTCCTATGGGCTCTGGCTAGGGCCTCCTCTGTCTGAGTTCTGTGCTCGTCAAGGCAGCCTCGGCTTCATCAGCCCTTGGCACCAACTGGTGATCCAGTGAGTATGCCATCTTTGAAAATCCTGGGATATTTTTATTTCAAGGTGCCAGGCACTGTGAATGAGGAAAACCACCTATTTTAATATGGGTTGAAACAAGGGTTTTTGGGGGGGTCTGGTTTAGAAGGAATAGATCGAGAGAAGTGAGGCAGATTCATTAAAGGTGGGGATACTACAGATGCTGTCAGACTCAGTTGGGGCGTTGGTCGTTTTTGCTGAATTACTTTTTTCTTTCTCTTATTTGTGACTACAAAGGATGGCTCTTAAGGAAGGGGAGAGGGGTGTATTTGGAAATGAGGGAGATTTATAAAAAAGCAATAGGTTTTTTTTAACCTTAAAAAGAAGAAAAGAAATGATTACCTGTCCTCACTGCCACCCCCTGAACGACTCCTGTTTTACCCCAAGTCCTCCTGCCAAAGCCTGGCATCTAACAGAGACCCCCCTCCCCCTATTCATTTCCCCACAGATGTACAGAGGCTTCAGCAAGATGCCCCACGTGCAGTACATCCACACAGAAGCTTCTGAGAGCCTTTGCGGGCTCAAGTTGGAAGTCAACAAATACCAGTATCTGCTGACAGGTAAGGGCCCAGCTTCAACAGAGGCCCCGCTAGAGGATAGCTGTCTGCCAAGGGCCACCTTGGGTGGTTACGGTGTCTGCGGTGGGGAGAGAAGGAGAAAGGAACGGCTCACCCAGGAGTCTGTCTGGGCCACGGTTCTACAGAATACCCCCAAAGAGCCCCAGACCATGCAGGACAGTGGAGAGGGGAGCGGGGTCGGACCCAGGGAGACTTGTCTCACACGCTTGATTGTGTAATGCTCAGCAACTCTCTGGACCTCAGTTTACTTATCTGTAAAAGGAGGACATTTGACTTCCCCACCATCTAATGCTAATCCTGTCGGGATCACAGGTTGATATTGGTAAGGGACATCAGAAGCTAGTTTGTTCAATGCCCCCATTTTCAGTGAGGAAACTGAGGCCCAGAGATAAGCGATTGATTCCCACTTAGACTATAGGGATTGATTCATTTTTTGGTTCTGTATCCCCAAAGTCTAATAGTACCTGGCACATAGTAAGTGTTTAATAAATGCTTGGTGATTGATTGAAGGCCATCAGCCAGGTTACAGGCACCTCCCAATGTAAAACCTGTGAGCTCGACACCAGGCAGAGGTGTGACCCGACCTTCTGTCTTCTTTCTCCTCCCTCAGGCCGGGTATACGATGGCAAGATGTACACAGGCCTGTGTAACTTCGTGGAGAGGTGGGACAGGCTCACCCTGTCCCAGCGCAAGGGGCTCAATTATCGCTATCACCTGGGCTGCAACTGCAAGGTAAGATGGTGGGAGGGGAGGAGGGGGAAACACGGGGGACCTGGGCTTGAATCTTGGCTCTGTCCCTCACTTAGCTATGTGACCTTGGGTAATGTTTAACATCTTGGTTTCTTCATGGATGAAATAAGTGGCTTAAACTGGGTAAGTCGTGAGGTCCCTTATGCCTGTCACTCAGCTGGACCTCAGTTTCCTGATCTGTAAAGTGAGGACGTTGTATTAGCTGGCCTCTGAGGTCTGTGACCTATCTGGTCCTTCTTCCTCATCTGTCAAAGGAAGGGTTTGGACCATCGTTTCTAAGATCCTTTCTAGCTCTGGGGTTCTCCTCGTGGGACTCAGTTTCCCCTCTGTGTAAGTTGAGGGGGTTGGAGTAGATGGTCATCCGATGCAGAGGACTGGAGGGTGCGGTATGTCTGTGTTTGGGGGAAGGAGGCTGGGCTTCTCTCTGGCATGTGAATGGAAGACAGCCAAGCACGAAGGATCCTGCCCTTTGATGGACGTTACGGCCACTCAGCAGCCAGAAGCAAAGCAGGGCCCTTCAGCCTCCTTGACTGGGGCCATAACTCAGGAGGTGCTTTGCTAAAAGTGGGGCTCGCCCTGAAAGGCGAGTCAGAGCCCCATCCTTCCCCTGCTTCGGGTAGGGGAGAGGCAGAAACCCAGCTGGGGTGAGAATAATCATGCCTCTTCTTTCTGCCTCAATTGTGACAAAGTGCTTTCCCCCCTACTGTGGGGGGAGATGGTGAAAATATTATATCCCCATTTTACAGATGAGGAACTGGAAGAGATCTCAGAGGTCATCTCTTTAACAAAGGAGGAAACCAAGGCCCAGGGAGGGGACATAACTTGGCCAAAGCTATTCCTAGGACTACCGAGAGAGTGTTTTTCCCTGTGGTCAATCAATGACTCAACAAACATTTGGGGGCAGCTAGGTGGTGCAGTGGATAGAGCACCGGCCCTGAAGTCAGGAGGACCTGAGTTCAAATCTGGCCTCAAACACTTAACACTTACTAGCTGTGTGACCCTGGGCAAGTCACTTAACCCCATTGCCTAGCCAAAAAGGAAAAAAAAAATACAAAAACACCACCACCAACAAAAAAAATTTGGAAAGGATGTGAGACCTGGGAGGGACCTTAGAACTCTGGATGTCAGAATTATGTAGCTAGTTAGTGACGGATGAAAGACTAAAACCCAGGTCTCCTCTTTTGATTTCTTGGCCACGTTTACATTTTGGACTTGAATTAAGAGTCAGGGCTACCCCTGTCTTCATCAAGATAACCCAGTGATCCTTCTATACCCTTTTGGATGTCATATGGCTTAAGGGATCAGATCCCATCTGTGACACGACCTCTCTCAGACTCAGTTTCCTCATCTGTAAAACGGATGGATTCATTGGCCTTCAATTCCCTTCGACTCACCTGCCCCACTTGTTTCTGTAATTACAGATCAAGTCATGCTATTACCTGCCCTGCTTCGTGACTTCCAAGAATGAGTGTCTCTGGACGGACATGCTCTCCAACTTTGGCTACCCTGGGTACCAGTCCAAGCACTACGCCTGCATCCGGCAGAAGGGCGGCTACTGCAGCTGGTACAGGGGCTGGGCGCCCCCGGACAAAACGATCATCAATGCCACAGATCCCTGAGCTGCTGTCCCTCCCCTGCCCCCTTCCCTCCCTCTTTCGGCTGAGCTTCCCTCGGACGCTAACTCTTACCAGACGATGACAATGAAATTAGTGCCTGTTTTCTCGCCAATTTAGCACTTCGAACACTTAAAAGGAAAAGTCTATGCCGTCATACTGAGTTTATTTTTAATCACGTTTCCCTCCCCTCCCCCCTTCTTTTTGGCTTTGACATCACCTGTTTCCACCTGGGGAAATCTATGATGGCTTGCCAGAAATGAACAAGGAGAGCAAACTTCTTTTATCAGCGTCTATATAATCTATATTTTTTTAGGAAAACAAAAATCTAAAAACTATCCCGGTTGGGCATTGTAATCCCCCTGTCCCTTCCCTAACTCCCTCCCTCTTTCTCCCCAGTGCACAAATTATATACAGACAAGGCATTTTCTGAAGGGAGGAAAGTGATAGGATGGGCCAAGACCAGCGAGGAGACAAATCCCAAGGCATGTGGGGAATTTCAAACCATGAGGAGATGGTATTGGATCCCCTAACAGCCTCTTGGAACTCTTGTCTGCCTGTATGAGCGAGAGCGTGCGTGCTGGAGAGCGTGATCTGAGGGGGAGGTGAGCATGCTTGTGTGCACCCCAGCCCTCCCCCACCCACAAGATTTCCCCCCCAAACTAGGGGTGCTCTCCCTAGAATGCACAGTTTCATCGGTGCAGAGCCAGGAGGAAATGTGCCTGCCTCTTACAGCAGTCCAGGGGAAAGGCTGAGACCCCCAAAAAGTGCTCCTAGAAATTCTGTGGTCTCTGTTTGGCAGGGAGCTCAACATGTACATTTAAGAAATACATACACACAACTCTTAGCTAGAGTCCTTTAGAATGTTGCTTAGAGAACACCATTGCCAAATTAGCTTTTAGTTCGAAGGGGGAGGGGGGGAATGTATTAGGTGCACATATACCTATAGCCACACAGAGGTATAAGCTAAGTTTTTACAGGACACAGAATTACATTCAATGCTGTTGAAATCCTCTTTCTCCCTGCCTTTTTTGTTTTGACATTCCAAGTTGTTGGCTTTTGATATTAAATTTTTCAACTCCTGAGAACTCCAGGGCAGGGGCCCAGAGCATTTAGAACCTCTCCTCCCCCCTCCAAGGCTGGTGGCCTCAACATGGCAGCTGGGGCAAGGAGATGGGAGAGTTGGGGGTGGAGTGAGTGCAGATAGGGGAGAGAATGGAACCTGCCTGGCTCACCTAATGGAGCGGCCACCCTCTCGTTGCTTCCAGCGATGGCCGGATTGTACAATGTCTCCTTTCCCAGCTTCCCATGGCTGGGCCCCATGGCCTACAGTACTCTTCCTTGTCCCCACAGCATAGCGAGTGGTGTTAGACGTTAGAGAGGTTGACTTTGCTGGTGACTGGAGGGCTTTTTGTTGTCTTTTGATTTTTTTTTTAAAGAAAACTATAATATAAATTCTCTTATTAAATAAAATTATTTTAAGTTTTAATGTTGATAAATAGGAGATACTGAGAAAATGGTTGATGTGCATTTTACAGAGTTTTGGGAATGGTGACATTTAACACAAGTATTTCTTTCTTTTTTTTTTTTTTTAAGATTATAGTTATTTATCAAACCTTCAGTTCATTCCACTTTAGGAAACAGAGCTGCTCTGCTTTTTGGTTTAGTTTTGTATTTTAAATCACCGACATGATACTTCTGCATGTACATATACACACATACCCAAACCCCTGAAAAAAGGCATTTGAAACAACCCCAGTTTATGAACGTCCTTAGTGCCATTATTCTGCCTACCAGTCTTTGACATGGAGAGCAGAAACTTAGAAAGAATCAAGGCAGACAAGGTAGTAACCAGACTGCTGGAGACAACGGCCATGCCCATGAATGACGAAGGCTAGCTGACCAGGGTTCTTGTTACTTCCAACTAGAGTATTTAGCCTTTTTGTAGCCCTCCCCACCGGGCTGGCCAATTGGGTATCCTGAACTCCAGTTTTTTTGAGGCATGAGTAAGACCTTCTTTAGAAGGTAGCCAATTATGTTGGCCTCTGGCCATCTTGGAGGATCCTCAGAATCCCTCTCATGGTAATGGAGTGGCTCAAACTAAGACCTCAAAAAAAAAAAAAAAAAGGCAAATGCTGGATGGCCTCCAGGGAAGACAGATGTGATGGTAGGGAGGAATCCACCTCTCTCTCTACCAGCTCCAGACCAGGGCAGAGACAATGGGGTCTTGACAAAAAAAAAAAGAAAAAGAAAAAAGTCTCTTGTGTGATGTCCAAGGGTGATTACTGAGCTTGCTATAAGCTACAGCTTTGTTGACTACACCTATTCACTTAATGTTTAATTCAAGGTCATTTATGTAGCTGAGACATCTCAGTACTTCAAATTATTGTTAATTTTTTTTGTTTTGTTTTGCTAAGTTCTGTGTTGTATGTAGGTTGTAATATCTGCACAATTTTTTTCAAAGCAAAACTAGACTCCTTCCCTTTCTCCCCATATGCCACCAAATTTTATTAATATTTTGAAAGGTAAAACGTCTGATGTGTAGACAGCCAGACTGGCAAAATGTGGATGATCAGAGAGCAAATAACTCTTTGCTTCCATTGGGAGAAGTGACATTTGACTTGGGCATGCCCTTGGGTGGCAAGAATTTTCCTGGTGGAAGAGAGAGCAAGGCAGGCCAAAAAAAGAGTTGTATGACTGGTGAAAACATGGGAGTAGGACTTGTCCTATGGATGTAAAAATAAATCTTCAGAAGGAGGATGAGGATGGCTCTGGGTTGAGCTTTGTTCCTCTGACAAGTCAAGTCTGGCATCAAGAGTTTGTTGGCTATCTCAGCCTTCTCTTTCACTCCCAACCTACCCATTAGCAATACCCATACACCCAGGGTCCTGACAGACCAGGAATTTGACTTCAGATGCAGTCATCCTACCTGGCCAGGTGATGCCTTTTCCCCTCATCCCTAACACCAAATCACGATCACGGTGGCACTGGAGATATCGGTTCAAGATCCCCATGAGCTCATCTTGTTCACTTTCCATGATTCTTGGGAAAGGACAAATTGGATCAGGGGAGGGAAGCTAGAAGCCAACAGCTAATTGGAAACATACTTCCCAACAGACACAAGAGTCTTGCCTCTTTGGAATGATTTGTCTTCTGATTGTAACATGGCAGTGGTGGCTCAAATCTGTCATCTCTTACCACCCCTACATTCTGTCCACCTCATGCATGGATACCATCAGCACTGGCAGTGGGGGTGGGAAGGTGGAGTCAGTTACCATAGGGTAGTGCCTAAGAGTTTCACTGCTGGCTACTTCTTTAAAAAAGACAGGTCATGGAGTAGCTGAAAGGGAACAGGAAGTCAAAGTACGCATGGCTTTGGCCAAAAGAAAGAGTGATGGGGGAGTTGAGCAGACAGAGAATTTAGAGCTGGATGGAATCTTGAAGGTCATCTTGTTCAATCCTCTCTCCTTTTATAGATGGGGAAACTGAGGTCCGGGAAAGTCGAGTGACTTCCCCAAGGTTACACAGGTAATAAATGACAAAGCAGGGATTTGAATCCAGGCCCTCTGATGCCAAATCCAGCCCTATTTCTGCTATACAGACACCAACAGCTTCTAAATTAGGTCCCCTTCTTCCCCCTTGGTCAAGAGAAAGAACATGAGATGGAGGGAGCATATTCTCTGGCACTGATCAAGCCCTCAGAGAATGAACTGAATGAGCTGGTGGCTGGTGGCACCCATAGGCATCTAAACTGTCTCCAACCCTTCTGTGTAGCCAGTCTGCCGTCCTCGTGTTATGGGAGGGAAAACCACCAGGAGAAAACCTTGTCTGGAAGGAATGTATTTGTCGCTAAATTTTGTAGCACTGTTTACAGTTTTCCTCCATGTTATTTATGAATTTTATATTCCGTGAATGTATATTGTCTTGTAAGGTCATGTGGCATAATGTTCACTTTTTATAGTGTGTCCTTTATTCTAAATAGTAAAGTGGTTTTATCTCTATCACAAACACTATCTGGTCTCCCCTTTGTGTTGTGTGTACGTCTGTGCACCCCTCTCTCTTGAATTCCTTCCCACCCAGTGGAATGTAGCCAAGTGGAGACTTAGGGAACTGTATTGCTATTGTCCAGAGAAGTGACTTTGTAGATCACCAAACTCACAGGGATTGTCTGAACCTCATCTAATCTACAATGAGGCAGACATAATCTGCAGGAAATCACAACCCTCCTTAAGAAGTGGGGTCCGTGGTGAAGGTTATTCCATAAAACCCTGGCTACATGGCACAGTTATAAACATCATCATGTAAGTCTGTCAAAGACCTGTAATCTTATCCTTCCACATGGGAAGTCCCTCGACCGATACAGCTCACGACCCATCTGTAACTTCCAATCTTAGCAAATTGCCTAGGTAGCAGCAAATGCTCATGGTTATACAACTAATAAGGGTCCAAGGTGGGATTGGAGTAGAAGGAACTCTGAACCTGGATAAAAATGGCAGCTGACGCTTATTCCATGAAGCTCAGTGTCCTTCCTTCCTACCCTCCGCAGCTGCCGTATGTGTGATCAAGATACCACTTCATTGGGCTTTATCCGGTTTCCTCATTTGTAAGACAAGAAGGGCAGACTAGATGGTCTCTCTAGCTCCTTACAGTTCTATAGGACCACAAATCAAGCATTCTATCAATGATGTCCATACTATCGCTTGTGATTGCAACCACACCAAGACATCATTTTAGCTCAATCGCTAAAGTTGGCCCCCAGACCATTACTTCTTATGGGATTGTGCCGATTGGCGGTTTTAAAATTGTGTACACTCAAAGACCCAGATCCTCGGTTGTGACATCTACCTATATTAGGGAGTGTAACATTCCCTGACAACCCAAAGCTAACCACAAAAAAGCACATTCCTATAATATTAATAAAGGCATGACAAATAGATAAAAAAGAGAAATCTACAGAAACATATAAACGGACATCACTTCAACAAGAAATAATGAGAGCTGATCACACGTACATGCCATTGGATTTGTCAAATATAAATGAAAGTGACTTACCTCCAGATGGAGCCTATAAAAATAGCTAAGATAGAAGAAGGGAATCAAAAGGCACTTCATGGGTAACACTCACTTAAACTCAGCCACCAGTATTTTGACAAGCACCAAATGGCTGGATTTGCTTGTATATACAGAGGAATTTATTGTGGCAATTTAGGATCAAACTATTGCCACCAGAAACTACAGATGGATAGTAATCAATGCAGCTTATGACAGGAAAGAGGGAAATGAGGGTAGAACCCATTATCTGTGTAAACTTAGCACCTACTGAAAACTAGGCACAACATGATCTGGGGGCTAGAATTATATATCAGAGGTTCATTCTTTCAGGGATAGATGGACTGATCTATATCCTATCTCATTCTATACTACAAATACAGACCTCAAAATATCCTGGAGAATTCAATCAATAAACTTCTGGAATTGGACCATTAACATGCTTAAGACCAAACAATCACCCCAGACGTAAAACTGATTCATAAAAACTCTAGAACCACATTTTAGAAGATGTTGCCATCCCAACTACTCGTGCCAAGCGGAATGAAATGAGTAGCTTTTGTAATACAGAGACTTGACCAAGGAGATCTCAATCATGCAGACACAGGCTGTGGTACAAATCAACTTTGTCGTCATACTGGAGTCACACCAAGGGTGCTTTCAGTGAATCTACAGAGGAGGTTCAATAGATTGAATACATTTGTTCAACTACAAAAACTAGTATTTTTTCTACGTGTGCAAGAGTCCACAGAATATTGAATAGGAAGGAATCATAGCATGATAACGACTTGTACCAAGGTCTCTCTGACACTCAACAAAAAAATGAATAATAAATAACTTAATGGGCAGCTGGGTGGTGCAGTGGATAGAGCACTGGACTTGGAATCAGGAAGATTCATCTTTATGAGTTCAAATCCAGCTTCAGACACTTACTAGCTGGGTGACCCTGGGCGAGTCACTTAACTTTGCTTGCCTCAGATTCCTCATCTATAAAATGAGCTGGAGAAGGAAATGGCAAACCATTCAGTAACTTTGCCAAGAAAACCCCAAATGGGGTCATGGAGAGTCAGAAATGACTGAAATGACTGAACAACAGCAAAATAGTTCACAGAACACTAAGTAAAATCAATAAGAGTATAGCAATTTCCAAGAACCTTCTATGTGAAGGCATTGTGAAGGCCAAACCCAGTGGCAAAAGATGAGAATGAGATAGTAAGAACGTGACGACAATAATAATGACCACAATAAAATAACCCACTTTGAAAGGCGTGCCTCTGACATACTGCTTGGGCCACCCTGGGTAAAAGTCACTTAACTTCAGTCAACTCTACAAATGACAGAAAAGCTGCTCATCTTCACTGGAAGAAGAAATTCCTTCCTCTAAAAACTCCCTATACCTAGGAACCAATGAACTCCTGACTCCCATCCAAAATCATAGTAATAGTAGATTGCATTTCTAAAACACTTTAAGAGTAGCAAAGGACTTTACAGGTATTATCTCACTGGATCCTCACAAGAACTCTGTTAGATAATGCTATTCTGATTCTCATTTTATAGATGAGGATTCTGAGGCTAATAGAGGTTTCTCAAAGTCTCATAGAGACTTTCCCACAGTTACACAATGAATAAAGCTCTGACAAAGGATTTGAACTTGGGTCTTCCTGACTTTGTGTCCAGCACTCAATTCACTTTGCTCTGCAACTTCTCTGGGAAGAAAGGCTGATGTTGAGATCAATGAATTTATGAGAATAATAAAAATCAGCTCTACATCCCAATAATAGGCATTCTTTTGGGAACGTTTTACAGCTTCATCAGCCAAAGAGCTAAGAATTCCCAGATCCCCGTCTATGATCCCAAGCAGCCCGAGTGACTTGACCACATACACAATAAACCTTAAGCCAGAGGCTGCCAGACCTGGCCCCAAGTCCTGGGTCCTGCGTACTACTCCCGAGTCCTTTTTAAAGTTTTGGTGGCATCCAGTGGGGAAGAAAGAACCAATGTCTTACTTTTGCTTTCCAGTGATAGATAAAACATGGATAGTTGTGTATTTTAAACATTGAAGGAGGAATATTATCTCCACACCACTCATTACAGGTCTTTGCCCACTTTCACTGACCACATATTTCTATTCTTGGCCTCGGATTCACACAGGCAAGGGCTCTCTTTGCCCAGCTGAGAACCCAGATCCAAAGAAACGGCTGCCTGTATTTACCACTTGACCTGCCCCCCGGCATTTAACCCAAAGAGATCATTATTTTCTGAGAAAAAATGAGAACTCTCCCCACATGACTTCACAACACCTCTTTAGCTTTCAGTGGGTCAGAGGGTCAGAAGGAGCGAGAGAATGTTTTCTCATGCATACCCTTGTCCCATCCCCTCCCTCTCCTTCATACGAAATGATGCCATCCGTTTATATGAGGTAACTTCACTGAGTTCCCAAAGAGCCTCGTAGAACCATGAGCCAAAACACAGTTCAAGCAAAACCACTTGTACTCACCATTTGCTTGTGATTGGGGAGAAAATGTTCTACAAGTGGAAACTTCTCTGGGCCCAGTGAATTGAAGATCTTAATTAGTTGGGAAAACTGAAAGAGAAAGAAAGAACTTGGTAAGGATTCTGAATATGGAGGGCATCATAGGGTCTTCAGGACCTCAAAGACCACTTAGTTCTACCCCCTCATTTTACAGATGAGAAAAATGAGACCCAGGAGGTTAAGTGACTTGTCCAGGGTCCTACAGGTAGTAAGCTTCAGAGGCAGGCTTTGAATCCAGGCCCTCTGATTTCAGTTTTTTTCCCCCCTACTATAAGCTCAGTTTCTTTTCAAGTATCCTTCAGGCTGCTTCTAATGATCTTCTACTAGCTATAGAATAAAATCCAACCACTTTCGCCTAGAATCCAAAGCCTTTAGTATTCCGCTTCTTCTTCCTACCTCCACTTATCCCCACCTAGCAAACTACAACCTTAGTTCATCACCAGAAACTTTCCCCTTGAGTCAGAATAATATTTTAAAAAAATTAATTTATTAAATATTTTAAAGTTATTTAATTTTTTAATTTTAAAAATCATTTAATTAAAAATATTTTAAAAACATTTTGAGTTTCAAATGATCTTTTCCCCTGTAGTCTATCCCCAACTCATTGAGAAGTCAAGCAATATTATATCAATTATACATGTGAAGTCATGCAGAACATCTCAGCACAGTCTTTTTTGCTTTCCTCTAAACTTGGATTCATTCCCAGCTCCTGAGGCTCTGACCACAGGATCACAGATTTAGAGCTGGAAGGTATCTTAGCAATCTCATCTATCCTTTTCATTGACACCAGAGGAAACTGAGTCCCAGAGCAGTGAAATGGCACAGGCAGTGAAAGCCAAGTGAAAGGATTTGCCTCCAGATCCAGGGTTCTTCTCCCAACTCAAAAGTATGGAAGACTTCCACTGAAATTGAAATAGAACATGCTTGTCTTTCAAGTAGAAATGGGCTGATTCCTTTGACATATTCTCTGGCACTTGTTCCTGACCCCTAATTTATCTTTATTCTCTTTCCATCCACCCCTTCAATGAGGTCCTTTCATTAGGATCATGCCAATAGCATTGATCCCCTCCAAATCAGAATGGAATTATAGAAATCTTCCAGAAAAAAAATATTACAGTATAACAGTGTTAGTGCTGACAGGGACCTTAGAAAACATCTAGTTAACTCTTTCATTTTACAGACAGGGAAACTGAGTGCCAGGGAGGTTCAGTGACTTGCCCAATGTCATATAAGTAATGATTGTTTTTTTTTTTTAAGAAGGGCACACCTTGTTCTTTTAATCAGCCAGCATCTCCTCTTCTGTCTCAATCTACAACTAAATCATAAACACATAATTGAAAAGTTGAAAACTAAGTTAACTATATTCCCTAAATTATTTTGCATAAAGGGATTTTTAGAGACTGTTTACTCTAACCTCTTAATTTTCCA